GGTCAGACATGCTACATCCCGTGCTCCTGATCCTATTTCTATGACTCATTGTGCCCAATGTTTGTTACAAGCTGACTCATAGACTTAACTCACAGTTGTGGGGGGTTTTAGGGAAAATAGGTTGAGGAGTAGCAGGGGAGCTCTGGTGGCCTAGTGGTAAGGAGCTGCAACTACAATCCCAGAGGCGCACGGTTCGAATCCACCAGATGCTCTGCCAGGGAAGGAGGGACAATCTCCTCCTGTACCAGTCAGATCTGATTTGATGGTACACACACAAAAAAAATAATAAAAATTTAAAAAAAGGAAAATGGGGGGAAAAAAGAAAGGTTGAGGAGTAGGGGAGAGAAAAAGGATATCACATAGTGAAAGTCCCGGTTTAGTGAACAGCAGCCTCAAGCCAGACTAACAGACATAATTCCTCAACTAGTTCAGACCGCTTCTCAGTCAACAACTGGAAGTCTAGGTTCAATTCAGCTGCACAGAGTTTCTACTTAACTTTGGCTCCATCTCCAGGATTCTCTCAAGCTACACCTTGCCAGTCTCTTCACAGTTTGGAAAGCACTCTCTTATATTGGTTCCACAGCTGTTAATGATTTGCAAAACCATGTATCTGCAGTTAAGGGAGCTGGAAATCACACCCCCAGTGAGGGCTAACAGAATGGCTAGAAAAGCCATTTTTAAGTGTTGTAACACCACAGGTTTCCTTGCCCTACTTTGCCTCTACTTCATGAAACATCATAGCCTCCAATATCAGTGGATTTCTCCTAATGGTGTCCAAAAAGAGCAAGTCTAACAATGTATGTGTGTATATGGCATCCTAGTGATAAGCAGCTGCACTGCCAAACCGAAGGGATATGGTTCAAATCTACCAGCTGCTCCAAGTGAAAAGGATGCGCAATCTCCTCCCGTCACAGTCTTTGAATACTTGCTGGAGTGTCAGCTATAGGTCAGTTCCAACTCAAAGGTACAAAACAACAATATGCATGTATGCCTATACACACAAACACAGCATGAGAGACACACACACATACTTAACCTCTAATACCCAGACCATTTCTTCTGAATAAAAGGATTAAGTTCATAGGTAACCTATTAAAAATTTTTAAGGAATAAAAAGAGTATAACTTTCTTCTTAATATGTAATAGAAAATCTTACCAGGAAATTGCAGGGCTAATTGAGAGAATGTGAATATACAAAATTTTCAAACATATTAATTTATAACTGATTTTTAATCATCACAATATAATGCCACATGGTAAAAGCAATCTTTCACAAGTTAATATGACAGCTTTCTTGAAGAAAATGCAGTAAAGAATGAGAAATTGATCATGGCTATTTTAAAGATCAGCCTTTAAAGTGGTTAAAAATTCTTTCTAAAAAAAAAATTATTTCTAACAAAAGAACACCTGTGTCTTTCATGTAAATAGTTTTAAATTTTGTTTAGGGGCGTTCTGTCCTCTAAAATGATCCATTTAATTGCATGATTTACAAAAAAGGTTTTCATATATAACCTGAAGAGAGACAGCCTATTTTTAGAAGAAAGGTGAAGACCAGCCCTAAGGTCAGCATGGTAAGACCAAAGCCCACGCTCTCCATGAGACGGAGAAGGGACCGAGCGTGTTGGGGATCCTTGCAGGCAGCCCAGGTTCCAATATTACAAAGGGTGGAATGTGCGTCACATGCTTTTGTCTAACATATAACTGAGGTATTAGGTCTTCTGAAAGTAATCTTGAGTATAACTAAAAACTATACTCATCTCCTCATTCAAACTTTTAAGTACCTACCATATGCACAATCCCATGTTAAATATTAAGGGAGTACAAAGATTAATTTTAAAATAGCTCAAACTCTCCAGGAGTCTACAGTCTAATGAGTTATAGAGAGTTTAATGGAAGTTTAACATAAACTATAGAAATTGCAAGTAAGGATCTGCCCGATTGAGATAAATCACCTTATTTCTTAATTTAATGGCTATCTGTATTTTGCTAGCTGGGAAAAACTGTTACTTTTAGGATTGTTCTAAACTTGATTTCCCCCACCACCACCCCCGGACATCCCTTAACTATGTTATATCAAGTTTCTGACTGGACTTCTTGAACAGAATGCGATTTGAATGAAAAGTTTACAGGGCAGACTGGTTTTCCATTCAACCATCCACACGATTTGTTTTATGACACTGACATTCTGACAGCACTCTCCCCAGCTGCTCTGTGATTGTTTCTATTTGTCCTTCTCAGTCTCTTCTGCCTTTTGGATTTGGTGGCTGTTGTTAGGTGCCCTCGAGTTGAGTACAGCTCAAAGTGACCCTGGGAACAAGTGACCTGAACCTGGTCCTGTGCCCTCCCCACATCCCTGACACACCTGAGCCCATTGCTGCCGTCACTGTGTCAGTTCATCTTGTTGAGGGTCCTCTCTTCACTGACCTTTTACCTTTCCATGCATGATGTCCCTTTATTCTAGCAGCATGCCCCAAGTATGTGAGCCGAGGCTTCACCATCCTTACCTCCAACGAGCACTCTCATGATATAGTGGTAAGAAGTTGGGCTGCCAACAAATAGACATGGTTTGAATCCATCAGCTGCTTCATAAGAGAAAGGTGAGCAGTCTCCTCCCGTGAGATTTACGGTCTCTGAACACAAGCTGGGGGGCCAGCTCTAAGTTGTTCCAGCTCAATGGTACCAGTAACCACCCTGCCTTTGCTGTTTCTGAGCTTCCCCTTGGGCAAAAGCTGCCCCATTTCATCTCATGTGGCTGAGTGTCCCGAGGAGGAAGTACCTCTCTAGTGTTAGGATCGCTTGCCTTTTAGGACTGTCAATCTTTGGCTGACGGTTGAGCCACAGGGAGAATTCAGTTCCAGGTTCAATGGATGACTTAAGGCCATACTCTCAGGGGTCGCATTCATCACGACGGGACACCTGGGCATTTTTATGATGTTCAGCTTTCTGCCACATTTCCCCCACACTTTGTCCAGGCCCTTAAATGTGATTTTTTTTAAACAGAAGTAGCCAGGCACCACCGAGTTCTTCTGGTCTCTGTGCTGTGGAGGCCATAGGACCGTTACTGCCCTGGACTAGCTGCTCCCAAGAGTCTGAGTCTCATCCCTCTTCTTTGCACACAACAGGGAGAGACCAACAGTCATACTGAGATGACCACCCAAAAGCTTTTAAGGTGTGAGTCTCTCATCATACTGGGGTGCTCTAGAGGCGAGAAGCTGAGCTACAATCCCAAAGGCGCACACCAGACGCTTCACTGAAGGAGGGGCAGTCTCCTCCTGTGCCAGCTGGATCTGACTCAATGGTACATGGGAAGAAAAAAGAGCCATAATTATGCCATTTTATACCAAGATACTAGTATAAAAACTTTCCTAATATACACAGCAGGCAGCCTGGCAGCTCAGTGGGAAGGAGTCACAGTGTCGAACAGAAAACATGGCTCGGATCTGCCAGCCTCCCCAGGACAGAAGGATGGGCAATGGCCTCCAAACGCCCCTGAAGGGTCAGTTCATGAGATGAATCTGACTCAACACATTAAAACTAATCTGGACTAAAACTTAGTATAAAAGAGAAAATGATGATAGCATGCATATTTTAAAATTATTTAAATTTAAAAACATGAAGAAATGTAAATTTATAAGCTATTGTTGTTGTTAAGTGCCGTCGAGTTGTAGACAACTCATTTAACGACCCTATGAACAAAAGACCTGAACACTTACTTGTGTAACTTTCGTCGTTTTTCAATGTTCATAGTTTTCGAAGGCAAGCCATTTCAGAAGTGGATGCCACTCTTGCTTCCAAGCTTGATTTAATCGGGGAGCTCCACCAAACACTGTCCACCAGGGGTAACCATTATCGCATTTGATACATCAGTGTCACAGTGTTTAGCATCACGGAAACCATGAGTTATCTCTGTACAGCAATGCACAGACCAGTGCTATACCACTTGGAGGAATATATGACAAAAACAACTTAAACCAGGCCTGAGGGCTGCAGATTAAAACACCCACCCTGGGCCTGGTAGCTTAACTTTCTGTCCACTAGGTCAATGTAGTTCTCTGTGTTGTCCTTGTAATTGTTGTGAAGTGCCCTCGAGTCGTAGACAACTCATAGCAACCCTATGAACAAAAGACCCGAACACTTGTGTAAGTTTGGTCGTTTCTCCAAGTTCATAGTGTTTCTGGAGGCAAGCCATTTAGGAAGTGGATGCCACTCTTGTTTCCAAGCTTGATTTAATCGGAGAGCTCCTCCAGAAACTGTCCACCATGGGTAACCATTATCGCACATCAGTGTCACAGTGTTCAGCATCACAGTAACAAGTTACCTCTGTACAGCAATGCACAGAGCAGTGCTACACCACTTAGAAGAATGTTTGACAAAAAACAATATAAACCAGGCCTGAGGGCCCCAGGCCAGAGGGTCCTAATGTGTTTTTAACTAGCAGGCTTTATCACTTTGCCTCACTCCCTTTAACAAATCAGCTTTCCACCCTAATGCTCACCAATCTTGGCCAACAAGTTTTGTTGTTTTAAGAACTTGTTTTTATTACTTATTTTCTTAATGGTTCAAATGTTTTATTTTAAAAACTTAGCAAAACTAGTTTGATGATTCATCATGTGAGATGGCTTTCAGAGGAAAAAGTAAACAATAATGTACTTTAAAAAAATATTTATTGATTCATGCTTTCCAGAAAAATCTTTTCAAATCACCAAATCTCTATTCTCAATACTAAGCATGTTTTTTCCACCAAAAATGATGTAATACTATATATTATTCTAATTAAGTTGTGATTCTCAAATACTTTTTTTTAAAAAAAGAAAGCTCAGACTATGCAGCAATCAGATCAACTGAATGGGCATAACTGACCAGGTGGATGAAAGCTTTCCAGGCAGCAGAGGTTTTCACTCAAGAGCCCTGCCCTTATCAGAGATGTTTCCACAGCAGCTCTGGCGGGGGACAAACGAGGCTGCAAGAGCAGCACTGGTGGGCGAGGGGGCCGTGCTGACTCAGTGTTCTTCGTGAACAGTTTTCTCCTCTGCATTTCCTTCACTGAGTTCATCTTTCTCCTTGCAAGAATCCTGGCTGCTGGTATCAAGAATATCATTTTCTTCCTCATTCTCTGTCTCTTCTACTTTTTCTTCATTAAAGCTGGAGGGAGAAATGATCAATCTTTCAAAGGAAAAATGACTTGGTAAACAAACCCTCTGCTGTGTGGTGGATCATGAAGTTTAGCTTCCTCAAATATGAGTTCCACTTTGTTTTACACACACACACACACACACACACTCTCTCTCTCTCTCTCTCTCTCTCTCAAAGACAATTGAGAAATTATTCTTCTGAGAACTATTTTATTTCAAACCCTGAATGACTCTTTAAATTTCACTTTTAAACCACACTATTGTCATGAATCAGAAATTTAACTTACTTTGCTTTAAAAAACAAAATACTTCACCACTGTGTAATGCTTTAAATGTGTCAAACATCAAAAATATCAGTATGCTTTGCAACCTTTCCCATGTGGTCCATTAGGTAAAAGATCTTTTTAAAATCTACAGTACTGTATGTTTTGTTGCAGGTAAGAATCTTTCAAAGGTAAACTGTTCAGACATTGTGCATATGTTACCTTTCTTTATCTTCAGTGAAATCTTTCCTCTCTTGCTTGCTGAGGTTCTCAAGTATTTTTCCGCTTCGGCCCTTCTTTAAAACAAACTCATCACATATTCCTAGTGCTTTTAGCGTGTTAGAATAATGCTTTTCTGCTGCCATTCTTGCATTTTTCTATAGGAAAGACAAACCTTTTTAGATGAGAACAAAGGATTTTTAAAATTCCATTAAAAATGTATGAGTTTAAAGTTTCAGTGAAAATTAAACTCCAAAATTTCAACTAGTTAAAAACAGGTATAATCTAGCGAACCTCTGGTGGCCTAGTGGCAAGAAGCTACACTGCAATCCCAGAGAAGTGCGGTTTGAATCCACCAAATGCTCTGCTGGAGAAGGAGGGGCAATCTCCTCTTGTACTAGTCAGATCCGATTTGATAGTACACACACAAAAAATAATAAAAAATTTAAAAAAACCCCCACATGAAACAAGCATAGCCTATGCTCAGCAATTCCAGGAAACAAGTACAAGAAGGATCATAACTTCACTGTAAGATCGCAAACAGTTCAAATATCCATCAACAGTAGATAGATAAATAAAAGTAGATAGAGTAAAACAAAGCAATAAAAATGACTGAACTGTAGCTATACACCACAAATATAACCCAGAACAGAAAAAACAAAGACTAGACACAGGTATAGATAAGATGTTCAAAAACAGGCAAAACTCAACTAGTTTGTGGAGATGTGCACAGCTGGTAAAAATGCCGATAAAAACAAGGTTAGAACAGTGGTGAGCTCCAGGGGAAAAGGTAAAGGGCACACGGGGTTCCCTGGAGAGCTGGCCAGGGGATGCTGCTAAACCTAGGTGGAGGTCACATGAGCATTGAGCATGTACTATGTGCTTTCAAAACTGTATACAGATAACTAAAAAATAAGGACAAAACTCAGTGTGAGTTGGTACAGGTTCTTCTATATTCTCTAAGCCACATCTCCAATCTTGTACACGGATGACTTAACACCTGGGAGTCAGGAGCTGTCACAGTTCCTAAAAAGACCGGTTTTGTGGAGTCACAGGTGGACGGGAGTCCCGTCCACACACAAGTCCACTCTCAACGGCTACTAGCAAAATGGAACCTAGTCAAGGGTTGTCCTCTGGACTGCCAACTAACACAAGCTGCCTAGGCTGGCCCAGCGTCCTGTTCTGGAAAGGGCGTGAGACAGCATCCTTGGTTAGCCCTCAGATTTAACAAGTGAGGAAGCAGGACTCCCAAAGATGGAGCGGTGTTCCAAGGTCACAAGGGTGGTCAGCAATGGACAGTGTTTCATCCCTGGGCCTTTTCTACTCCATTGTGCTTTCTCCGAGGTAATGATGGCCAATCCTGAGTGTAAAGACAGTCTAAAGCCTGGCTGCAAGGCAATGTCGCTGTCAGGTGTTTGCCAAACCCACCAACTCTATCAGGGGACCATGGAGTCTGGAGTTCCACCACAGATACCAAAACAGCAGAGACTACAATGGGTCCACTTAGTACCTTCCTTATACTTCTAACTCAAAAAAGCAGTAATCTGCTACTAAAAGACACTCCCAGGGAATAATAATTTTCATCACAAGTAATCAAAAAACATATCCCGAGGCTGAGATACCAAGTCTTGAGAACCTGAGTACTAAAACTGTGTGCAAAGTGACATGAGGATGGCACCCTCAAGGCTGTGGAGCAGAATAAACCCCAAAGCTAACTCTGAATGCACTAAAAAGAAGACATTCTGATCTAAGTAAAATCAACATTAAAAAGATTAAAACGACACTAATCAAAGGTAGTGCTAATAAGCCATCATGTGCACTTGGTTTTAAATACACTTTAACATTTACTCAGGTAACACACCCTGTCATTTCCAAGAAACAGGATGATGTAGCTTGTTCTGTAATGGATCAAAGCCACACTGTTTGGGAATAATTCAACAGCAATAAGACAATTAAATTGGCCTAGTGTGTGCTGTGCTGCCAACCCAAAGGCAAGTGGTTCAAATCCACCAGCTGCTCGAAAGACGGATAATCTCCTCCCATGTGATTTACGTCATCTGAAAACCTGCTGACTCCATGACAATGAGGTAGGTAGGTAATGCATAAAGAGGAGAGTGAATTTGTGAAATAACAGCTGTTAATTAGCAGCAATGGCAAAATAGACTGCAAGAATTACAAACTGATGTTAACAAAGCCAAAGCAATAGTGAGTCACTATCACAGTAACTTTGGCTCTAGAATTAATTATAATATAGTGTATCAAGGAACATTTCTCCCTGCATCTAAATGTGCAAAAGAATCTTAAGGAGAACAAGATAAAAGGAACTAAAAATCACTGTACTAAAATGATTTTATTTTACTAGCAATTAACCTTTCCAAAGTACCAGGAAACAATGATAGAAACTAAGGTGTGCCTGATCTAGTCCATGATCTTTGCAATTACTTGCTATGCATCAGAGAGCTAGATAAAGACTAAATATGACAGAAGAATTGATGCCTCTGAGCTGTAGCGCTGGAGAAGAGTCTTGAGCATACCATGAACTGTCAAGAAAAAAAATAGGTCTGTCTTGGAGAGAGTCAAACCAAATTCCTCCTTGGAGGCTAGGATTTTGAAGCTCTGTCTCATAAACTTTGGGCATGTGACCAGGAGGAACCAGTCCTTGGAGGACAGTATGCTCAGCAGGGTGTAGGGACAGCACAGGACAGGAAGACCCCGGATGAGATGGATTGACACAGTAAATGGATCAATGGAGGTAGGTGTGTCAGAGTGAGTGAGACTGGCTCAGGACAGAGCAGGCGTCAGAGCTGTTGTACATAGGATCTCTATGAGTCACAGGCAACTTGACAGCACATAACAACAACATTAGCAAAGTTTCTCGGGAAAATAGCTGACAGCTGGACTGCAGAGGAATCAGAGTGCGGAAAGAGAAGGTGGAGCAGCTCAAGGACAAGAGTGATAAGAGGGGCTGACAGAGCAAGTTCAAACGAAAACAAGCCTGTGGGTGTCAAAATGTGACCTTGGGTTTATCTCACCTGAATTGAAAAACCATTTCAAGAGCAGATTTGATGCACTGTGAGATGGCATTAAGGATATCATCTATAAAGAAAACATACGACATAAGAAAGAAAAGATCAAAAAGATGGCAGAAGAAACTATGAAATTTGCAAGAGAATATAAGCGAAGGCAAAACAAAGGGAAGTGTTGCTGACTGAGGGTAAAGTATTTTTATAAGTATTAATAATGAGACAGAACACCAAGAATGTAGAGAAAACAGATAAAGCAGGAGGCGAACAGTTCTTGGAACAACTGAAGCACGTGGATTTAGCTTCCCTGTGTCTTTATTGAAAATTGCCAGGGAGCAAATCACAAAGAGAATTCAATGCAAATGAAGCGAGGCTCTTTCTATTAAAAACCTTCTGCTTGACTCAGGAGGAAGGGGTTAGCAAATACAATTCAAGAATCCTGTAAGCTTAAGGATTGCCAGCTTGTATCAGCCTCCACCATAACCTGAAGTGTTGTTGTTATGTGCTGTCGAGTCACTTGCGACTCATAGTGGCCCTATGTACAACAGCCCTAAATCTTACTCTGTCCTGTGCCAATCACAAAGTCTCCAATACACCCATCCCAATTACCCCAATCACTGAATCAATCCACCTCATAGAGGGCCTTCCCCTTCTGCGCTGTCCCTCCACCATACCAAGCATGATGTCCCTCTCCAAGGACCTGTCCCTCCTGGCAACATGTCCAAAGTATGTTAGATGGAGTAGCATTCGGTTTATTACAAATATTTAGTATGAAATTTGGCTTCCCATAGGGAAGAAATACTAAAATCAGAGAGCTGAGCAGAAGATTTCAAGGGGCAGCTCCAGAAGTCAAAGCAAAATATTATAACAAAATATGTAAGAGCTGGAGTTAGAAAAACAAGAAAGAACATGCTTGGGATTTCCCAAGTTGAAAGAGCTAAGGAACAAATTCAAGCCTTGAGTTGCAATACTGAAGGATTCTATAGGCAAAGTATTGAATAAAGTATTAAAAGAAGACAGAAGGGATACTGTACCAAAAAGAACAGGCCGAACATAAAATGCCCAATCATAAAAAAGAAATGCCTAATCATATATTCCTTTTAAACAGTTCTTTCCTTCATTTGTTCCAATGCAGTATTCATGATTTATCCCCTTTTCTCAGTTTCCACCCATGTCAGTCCTGTTTTAGAACAGTGGTATGATACAGTATTTGTCCTTTTTATATAGACTGTTACTCTGCAATAGTAGAGTAATACTATAAAATTTCTTTAAACATTTGGTTTTTTAAAAGCTAATGCAATCATTTTATTTTGTAAAACCAGAGGAGTGTATGAGAAAATAAAATGTAATTGTCCAGTGTAAAAAAAAAAAAATAGGCTGGCACTGAGTAACTTTAGGAAGCAGCGTAAGATCAAGAACCAGTGAAAGAAAAACGAAGTCCATGCTACACTGAAGGAACCGGCAAAAACTAAGACCCCAGGGCTTGACAGAATACCAACTGACAGGTTTCAGGAAATGGATGAAGACTCACTAGTCTATGCAAAAAAAAAAATAAAAAAAAATTGGAAGACAACTGGCCAAGTGACTGAAACAGATACATATTTGTTCCCATTTAAAAAACAAAAAGTAATCCAACAGATTGAGGAAAAATAAGCAATTATCATTAATATCATGTGTAAATAAAATCATGTTGAAGGCTAGATGAAAAAACCGGCTGGAACACGGAACTGCCAGAAATTCAAGCTGGATTCAGAAGCGGTGTGGAACACAGGATAGCACTGCTGTCAGATGGATCTTGACTGACCGCAGATTGCCAGGGAGATGTTTACTTGTGTGTTATTGTCTGTGTAAAAGCATCTGAGCATGGAGATCATAATTATGGCTAACACTGAAAAGAATGGGGATCCCAGAACACTTAACTCTGGTTAAGTGGAACCTATACATACCAAGAAGCACTTGTCTAAACAAAGCAAGAAAATACGACATGGTTTCAATACGAAAGGTGTGTATGAGACATGGAGAAAAGACTGAAGCTGTAAAAGATTTCCTTTTACTTGGATCTACAATCAACACTCAGTAGTCAAGAAGTTAAAAGATGTGTTACATTGGACAAATCGCCTGTATAGAATCTCTTCAAAGGGCTGGAAGGTGGAGATATTAAAGGACTAACACTGATTCAAGCCGTGCTATTTCCAACTGCTTCCTATGCATGTGAAAGCTGGACAATGCATAAAGAAGACCAAAGAAGAAGTGATACCTTTGAATGGTGGTACTGGAGAAGAGTATCAAATATCCCACGGACTGCAAAGAACAACAAATTTTGTCTTGGGAGAAGTGCAACCAGAATGGTTTCTTAAGAGGGAAGAATGGTACAGTGTTTCTCACATAGTTTGGGCATGCTGTCAGGAGAAGCCAGTTCTTGGAAAAAGAGATTATGTGGGGAAAGACAAGAAGATCAGGGAAAGGGGAAGGAGCTGAGTCGACCCAGTGACTGCACCACTGGGCTTGAGGATGCAGGATGGCACAGGACAGGGCAAGGAGCAGATCTGCGGTTCACAGGGTGCTGTGAGTCACAGCTGACGTGACAGCATCTAACAGTAACAACTGGGTTAAACTGCTAGCCTTGGAATAACAAATGAAGATATAATGAAAGGAGGCAAGATGACCAACTAAACCACTATCATAATTCAGACAGGAAGCTGAAGCTTCACATGCCGTGTGCAGACATGGGGGGAGGCTTGAAGAGTGGATCCAGAAATCATGGAGGTCTCCTGGCGACCAACTGAATGGAGTGGCTCCTAGTTAAGTACATCATGTCCCCAACCGAAACAGGAAGCAAGATGATGGCACAGCTGGGGCAAGATCAGTGAGAGCCTCTTTTGGGCACTCCGTCTCCTGGGACACAGCATCCAGCTTTGCCTGGCCCTCTGCTCACCAATCTCTGCACCACCACCTTGCACCACCAACAGTCAGTCAAGATCCATCTGACAGCAGCAATGACAGCCTTTGTGCGATGGACCTTTCTGAATCCAATTTGAATTTCTGGCAGGTCCCTGTCAATGTACTGTTCCAGCCATTTTTCAGTAAGATTTGGCTTGCATGTGATAGTAAGGATATTGTTCAATAATAACCACATCCTGTGGGTAAGACTATACACCTTGTCAAAGGTGAAACACCTGTGAGACTTGGACAAAGAAAGCAGTTCTTTCAGAGTTACTTATTTCTTAAGAGTTTAAGACATTTTTTACTCTCTCAAAAAAACCATCAATGCGAGGGCCACATTACAGAGCTGGATTTGCCTCCACTGGGCCAGAAGGAAATCACCTCATGCGGTACAGTGTGCACAATCACTTAGACAAATCACCTTCCCTGATGTTTAAGCACAGACTTTTAAAAAAAATCCATCCCCTCGTGTGAAATGCATTACATAAAATAATATTCAAATCACTAAATATATAGAGCTTAAGTAACTGAGGGACTGTGATGTGTAGATTCACCCACAGTCTGGCCTCATGGTTCTCAGGAGCCACACAGGTGGACAGCCCTGGCCTACGCTCATCTGTCCCTCCAAAGTGCTGGCAAGTGGCTCCAACTGACTTGTCTTGAAGCAGCTTATAAAAAACAGTATCTCCATCCCGTGAAGCTCCATCATCTACACAAATCCCACTCTTAAGAACAAAGATGACTGAAATGGGCAAATCCTCCTTAAGGGAAAGACTGTAAAACTGCGTACCAGGGTCCAGTGTCCATAAGACGTTCTTATAAAAAGGAATTCCTTTTTTGTAAATGTAGGAGGTTAAAAAATATACCCACTTAAAAAATAAAAACCATCACAAACCACAACACGTTGGCAGAAATAAATCTGATTCAATTAGTCATTTGTTCCAGTTTTTAATTCTTTAAAGACTTTCAAATAGTATCATAAAGCCTCACCTTAATGCTTGGCCAAGTTCATGTTGAAAAAAGACTAGGAACCAGTCTTAAGAATGTTTCTTTGAGAACAATTAGATTAACTGCATGTTCTCTGTCTCGCTATCACGAAGAGTCAATGCTCGTTATTTTAGGCAGAATCACTTACTAGGCTGATCTGATGAAGTTGCCACAGCAATGGTAACATGTCTAAGGAAATTATGTTAACACACGAGAAAAATGGACTGTAAAATTAGGAGCTGAAGAGGTATTAAAAAAGCCAAAATGTGACAACAGCTCTTAGAGGTCAATAAACACAACCTGAGCGACTCTTTCAAACAGCAGAGGCCTCTTTTTTAATTTTTCTTCTCTGTCTTCTAGTTCTTGTCTGTATTCTTTCATTCTTTCTTTGTTACTCTTTCTAAAATGAAACAGAAGGAATGAAATTTCAAAAGGTCATCAAAGAAATAGAAACTTGCACATGAAACATTTAGCCTGGATAACAAAGCAGGATTTAACTTATGGGAAGTTTTTCTAGGCTGGTAAATTTTCATGGAATGGAGACTTAAGAATCCGAGGTTCTGGGAGCGTGTGTGTCACTGCGGATACTTGAGCTTTCTGAAATCTTCAATGTATGAACAGGCTTTAAGCGGACCTGAAGTGATGAGGAATGAATCTCTCATTTCTAACATTCTGGTATATAAAGCTAAGACAATTTTATTCAAATTACTATTTTCTACATAATTTCTTCTTAAAACAAGACCTGCTTTTATTTTCACTCCTCAGTAGGATCGCTCAAAGATCAACAGCAAAGTTAATATAATGGATGCAGGTCTGGGGAGAAGCGGTGAGCATGGGAATATGACCGAGGGATAAACCCACACCATTGTCACTGGGTCAGTCTCAACTCATAGCTCCCTCCACTGGGTACTGGAGGCCTTAAATCTTTATGAGAGGAAATTGTTGGTCTTTCTCAGGTTGGTGGTTCCTCACCTTCTGGTTGGTAGTGCAATATACCACACCTCAGAGAGGAACAGGAACAGATGTGCGTTAACTCACCTAAGTCTATTAACTCTTTGGACCCAATCCCATAATAAATTACACTACAGTATTTTCTCTATACATTGTTGTTCTTATGTTCTTATGAGTTGGAACCAACTCACAGCTGACTCTCCAGTGAGTTTTCTGAGGCTGTAAATTGCAGAAAGATCATTCCTCTTTCTCCTTCAAGCCAGCTGGCAGATTCAAACTGTGTATCACTGGCAGCACATTTTCTTACCATTTGGCCACCAAAATTGCCATTTAAAGAGAAATCAGAGTTCTGGTGGCAGAGTGGTAAGGAGCAATGCTAGCAACCGAAAGGAACATGGTTCGAATCCACCAGCTGCTCTGTGGGAGAAAGACGGGCACTCAGCAGTGGGTCAGTTCCGACTTGATGGTACACAGTAACACCACCAAAGTTCTTTCTCTATGTACGCTATATTAACTCTAGCTAATGAGATTTCGTGGATTAGAGAACACAGTTACCCCATAAAGTTACATGGTTAATTATGCATAATTTGGTATAATGAAAAAAAGCCAGTTTAACTCCTAAAGGTGAGGGGTTTATTGCAAAGGAATTTTTCACTCAAGCTCATCAAATTAAACTCCCTCTATCAATCAATACTATAAGGAAAAAAGGATCATAATTAAAAGCGAATATATTACATATGGAGATTATATATATATATAATACACATATCACATATACGGGAGCCCTGGTGGCCTAATGGTAAGAAGCTGTGCTGCAATCCCAAAGACACTGCAATTCAAATCCACCAGCAGCTCGCGGAGAGAAAGACAGCCTCCTCCCATGTAACTTCCAGCCTCGGAAAGCCACAGAGGGTCACCTAAGAGTGCATACTGACTCACATCAATGATTTATACACACGCACAAATCAGATGACTGAAAAGTAGTCAATAGATCACTCAGATTTCAGGGATATTTTTCTACTAACTCACAAACATTTTTATGTTGTGCATAAAAATGTTCCTCGGGAATACTGGTTTTCAAACTTTGTAATGGCAGAATTCTCAAATTTTGCGAAGGTTTTAGAGATTGTACATTTTTTTATATTAAAATGGAAATAAAATGTAAAACATACACATGAATACTATCACACTGGGGATATGTGTCAATTTGTGCCATGAGATTTCATGTAGAGTTTGAAACAAAGCTCTTTAACATCTCTGTTTATTGAAATATTCTGAGATAACATGGCAAGCTGAGAGGGAAAAAAAAGGCTTTATCTCTAAATCAAGATTTTCCTCAATCTTGTAATTTGAATATATAGGATAAAACCCTAATATTATTCTTAATTTCTTTTTTTATTGCTAGCCACTGATTGAAAAAAGGGAACTATTTGAAAACCAGTGATCTGGAGGTTCAGAATTTGTGATACCTGAGAGATTTTAGTTTGGATTTAGACATTTGAGCTAGACTTTCATGTGAGTCATAAGCCTTAGCCCGGGCTGTCAGCAACTTCTGCAATTCTTTCATTCTTTGCTTCTGCTGGGTTAGGATTCGGTTTCTTTCTTCTTCCAACATTTTCTTTTCCTCAAGGGATCTCCTGAGGGCAACAAACTAAGGCTTAATTTTATTTAAGCCAGTAAATGTGTTGTTTAGCAAAGATTCAACACAGGGCCATTCGAAGGTTGAGAAAATTTTTTTTAAAAAAGCAAAGATTATAAACTTAGAAAAATCTGACTTGAGTAAATGGACTGCAGCAGACTGAATTTGACTTTTTCTATACCTAAAGTTTCAAAACATAGTTAATACATTTATTTCCCCTCTGGCAAAATATTTTAAATGATATAATATCTTCCCAAATAGCATTTTGTTATTAACTTGTTACTAACTCCAGGCTTCGTGACATAAAATCAGTACACTGTGTTCGCTATTTTGAACTACGTACACTAGTTTAGCAATCTGAGTTCGTCAGTATGGTCTCCCAGCTATTTTACCTGATGGCTTCTTCTCTTTCTCTGGAAGATACCGTGGACTTTGGAGGGGTGCAGCTGCGGAGCACAGACTTTGAACTTGTACTTTTTCCTGCTGACTTGCCCCTTGGAGACAGAAGAGACCCATCTGTGTCATTGACATTCTCTTCATCCGCTTTAATGTCTGCCAAGATTTTATCTCTTCTAGACAATGAGTGCGAGCATTTACGGAGAACGAGAGAATTCTGGGGTGCTACGGACCCCGAACACTTGTTCTCCGAGAGGTACTTGTGCTGTTTGGGGACGTTTTCGATGTCAGGAGCCTGGCATCTGACCTTGCATTTACACTTGCACCTTTCAGGACGTCTGGGTTTCTTGGTGGCAAGACTTCTGTAAGCTGGCCGAGGCCAGGTGTCCTCTAAAAGCTCCTGGGCTTTTTTCTGAGCCTGGATCTTTCTCAAGAGCTCTTCTTCTTTGAATCTGTCACTGACAGTTGGATCATAAAGAGACTGAGGGACAGGCCTGGCTTTAAATCGACTGGTTTTCTTCGTAGGCTTGAAAAAGTCTTTCAGCTTTTCTCGGGTCGCTTGCTTCTGCTCTTCTCTGGCTATAAACTTGAACGGCTTCTGTGAAGCCAAAAGGGCTTCTTTGTTCTTCTCCTTCATCGCTTTTCTCCGCGCCTCATTTTGCTTGACTAGTTCACGATAAAGGGGGAGAAAGACAGACTCGGGGACTGGATTGGCCCGGAACTTCTTCCTGCACTCTGCTTCTTCCTCCTCCTGCTTCTTCAGCAGCTTGTTTTCCATCTCAATTTCTGCCTTGGATTTCAAGTTCGCGTCCCTCTTTTTCTGCTCTCGGACCGTCATCTGAAAAGGCTCGGGGACTGTAATCTTTGGCACCCATTCTTTCGGTTTCTTTCTTATTTTTTCAACCGATGAGATGGCTGTATCATCAGACTGGATGTAATCCTCGACGGAAAAGCCGTTCCACATGTTGCTGATGAGCTCCTTGGCGAAGGTCATCACCTTGCTTTTGTCGGGGGTCTCCCTTTGGAGGTTCACCAAGTCGTCTTCAGAGGAAACTGGAGAGGCCAAGGAAGAGCAGCCTACATCCGTCTCCAGAAGGGATGGCACTAGGGAGGCAGATGGGTCAGAGTTCTTTACTGATGCAGATCTAAGGGAAAAAGAATAATATTTTACTTTCAGTTGTGCATGACCCAATTTAAAAAGAAAAAAAAACCTTCTAGATGGTTATATGCTCTCCAGCATATAACACAAGCAGTGAGAAGACAGGAGCTGGGCTGGGTTTGCATGAATGACTGCTTCGATATAGAAATGCTGAACCCCTTGCTTCTGTCCAGCTGATAACGACTGAGAGGCTCCTCCAGATGGATAACTTTTTAGAGAAGGTATCTTTTTCCCATAGAGGCAACTAGTAGGTTTGAACTGTCAAGCTTTTAGTCAAAAACATTTTTTTTGGTGTGTGTGTCCCGTCAAATTGGATCCGACTAGTACAGGAAGAGATTGTCCCTCCTACTACAGCAGAACGACTAGTGGATTTGAACTGCCTCTGGGATTGCACTGCAGCTTCTTGCTACTAGGCCACCAGAACTCCCTAGTCAAACACTTTAACAGTTGCTTCGTCAAGGCTTCATTTTAATTAGAACACATTCAAACTCACTGTCACTGTGGCAGAAGGGACTCAAGCTGACCCTCCAGTGGGCTTTCAGAGGCTGGAAAATCACACGACACTGCACACCTGTTTATTGCAGCTTTGTTCGCAATAGCAAAGAGCTGGAAACAACCCAAGGGCCCATCAACAAACGAATGGACAGAGAAGCTGTGGTATATTCATTCACACAATGGAATACTACGCTGCATTGAAAAACAATGAAATATTATGCAAAATGGATGACCCTGGAGGACATTATGCTGAGTGAAATATCTCAGTCACAAAAGGACAAATATTGCATAGGGCCACTGTTGTAAAATGGGACTGACATCAGGGTTGAGGGAAGACAGAAAAGGAGGGGAGGAATGATGTATACTGCATTGAAACAGATGAGGAAGAGAACTGTTTAAAAGGGACATATGAATGGGTTTTCTTGTCATTATAGGAGTCCAGAGTGAAGGCTGCATAGTAGAGTAGACTTGGGGGGAGGGATTGCATAACAATGAGTTTTTCTTTTTCCTTTCAAGGAGAAGAGTAAATTAGGGGGGAGGAGATTGGTAGGGAGAAAAGTGCAACAATGAATGACTGGAAACCATAAGTCTCTGTAAACTTTCATTAAAATTAATTTTTTAAAAAAAATCATACGGCACAAGATTGCTTGTCCTTCTCCCAGGAGGCACTGATGGATTCAGACTGATGGAGGGGTGGCCTTTGAATTAACAGTGTGACTCCCTACAGACTCGGCCACCAGAGCTCCCACTTTTATTTAGACTAGAGTGTAGGAAACAGCTATTAATTATACCCCTTTTTTGCAGGTTGTTGTTGGTGCCGTCAGAGTAAGACTCACAGCGACCCTGTGAACAACAGATCCCAACTCTCCTGTGCCATCTTCACCGTCTCTGACACGAGCTCATTGCTGCAGTCACTGGGTCAATCCACCCGAGAGAAGGTCTTTTGCCGACCCTCTACCTTTCCAAACATGATATCCCTTTCCATGGAACAGCTTCTCCTGCCAACATGCCAAGTTTCCAAGACGGCAGGAGAGGCACCAAAACCAGCAGAAGCTCCTTGTTTTTAACTTTTACTAAATACACATTTTCCGGAGTGTCCTTCCTAAAACAAACATCTAATCATGATACATGACGGCACATAACAACAACAACAATCACATTACTCTCCTACTTCAAACTTTTCAGTGACTCCTTGTTGCTACAACATCAAGTGTAGCTCATAAAGCCTTTCAAGACTGGCACCTAAAAAAAAAAAAGACTGGCACCTGTGTCACACACACCAGATTCTCATGCACACATTGTCTGCTGCTTACAAACTCACTTCTTGCTTTCTGTATCTGCTGTCCCTCCTTCTGTATCTGCTGTCCCTCCTTCTGTATCTGCTGTCCCCTTTCTGTATCTGCTGTGCTTCCTTCTGTATCTGCTGTCCTTCTTTCTGTATCTGCTGTCCCTCTACAACCCCTTCAAGACTGAGGTGGTAACACTGTGGACAATTCTTCAGCAGCCTGCCTTCACCAACATCTTGACAAGAGCATCTGCTTTTTCTCCTCTCCTGTCTCCGTGACAGTGTCACATTTTGCAGTTTTTGGTTCTCTGCTCTTTTTTGAGTTCCCTGAGGGCATCTCGATGACGAAACCCTTGTACCCAGCAAAGTCTGGCACACAGGCGATGGGCAATCAGCACTGACCAAGTACACAAGTTAAGGGACCTCAAGTTTCAAAGTGGGCAAACTCACAGCAGAAATGGATCCTGAAATTACAGACGAGTGTGCAAATGTGCTTCAATGTGTCTCATAGTCTTGAACTCTTTCTATTGCATCTTTAATGAGCTCAAGCAAATTCAACTTGAATGTTCCTCATTCAGAATGCTAAGACTAAATATTCTGATACATTTCTATAGTTGTGTAAATGGTTAGAGAGCAAAGACAAATGGTCACCAAATGACCCTCTGAACAAGAAGTCACCTTGGAGGTTGGTAAGTCACTAAATATTTTCAGTAAAATCCTGCTTCCATGTATCATTAAAAGTGCTAAGGAAGAAGGAAAATTTTTTCTTTTTTTTTTTTAATACAGCATGGTTTTTTACAGCATATTCTTCCCATTTAATTTTTCCCCCTTTCATACTTGTACATTTTTCTCCTGCCCACCCCTCCCCCAGTACACTTTTCTCTTTGAAAAGAAAAAAAACCTATTTCATTGTTGTACAATCCCCCCCAAGTCCACAGTCCACTTTACTATGCATTTCTTTTTCTGAAATCGCATCATGAAAATAATACTTGATCATATAATCCTTTTAAACAGTTCTGTCCCTCATCTGTTTCAATACAGTATACATTAGTTATCCCCTCTTTTCTTAGGTTCACCCCAACCCTGATGTCAGTCCATTTTACAACAGTGGCAATATGCAGTATTTGTCCTTTTGTGACTGAGATATTTCACTCAGCATAATGTCTCCCAGTCACCCATTGTGCATAATATTGCATGAGTTCCTTGTTTTTCACTGCAGCATAGTATTCCATTGTGTGAATATACCACAGCTTCTCTATCCATTCGTCTGTTGATGGGCACTTGAGCTGTTTCCAGCTCTTTGCTATTGTGAGCATAGATGTGCACGAAAAAAAATTTTTGATCTGCACTTTTTATTTGGTTTTTTAATGTGCTTAATTTTTTTGCATTTTTTAATGTATTCAAAATATCTTTAATTGGTTTTCATTTATTCATATACACTTCATTTTATAACATTAGTTACAACTGATCAATACCATCTATCACATTTATCAAATCCTCATAGCATTTTTGTTTACTAGCAAACATGCTTTATTTAAAATGCATGCTTTGAGGGAGTTCTGGTGGCCTGGTAGCAAGAATATGCACTGCAATCCCAGAGGTGCAGGGTTTGAATCCACCAGATGCTCTGCTGGAGAGGGAGGGACAATCTCCTCCTGTACCAGTCAGATCCAATTTGATGGTACACATACACAAAATAATTAAAAAAAGTAAAAAAAAAAAAAAAAGCATGCTTTGGTGAAAGCGGGCTGAGGCTAAGCTGGCACCACAGCCTAAATCCTTACTTTATCTTGCCTTTCCCTTCAGCCTATCTATTCCTCCACTAATCCCTACAGCTCGGAATTTTTAAATATATACTTTACATATAAAATATAAAATGTGAATATACTTCACAGTCCACAAGTAAGACTGTGTACAAACTTACACAGAAGAGGCAGTAGGAGGAGGAGTCTCTTCCCTGATGATGGCTGGCTGAGCTCCCTTTAAATTTAATTTATTCGTGTGCAGTTTCTCTAGCTTTGCCATAGTAGCCATGTGGGCGGCCTTCAGCTCCTCTAGTTTCCTGAAATATTCGGCATTTGAGCGGTAAATATCAGAAATTTCTATTGTGTCCTCAAGGCTTGCAGTTTTAGGTTCATCCATTCCAGAAAAGGTGGAGTTACAATCAGCCTAAAAGAGGAAAAACAACAACAAACGATTAGGATGTGTGGAACTGAAAGGCAAAGCTGGATGGTACTGCCCCAAAGGCGGCTTCTGGAAGAGGACATCTAATTAGGTTACAAGGTATTTATGGGCTGTGTACATTCTCCTCTGAGAGAAAGAGCAATCAAGTTGCCAAAAAATAGTATGTTATCTGTTCTAAAAAGGATGGTTAGATTCTCAGACCAACCAATAAAGGTATTTAGCTCATTATTAAAATCTGCCTGGTTCTGATTTGGGAGCTTTCTATTATCACCAAAAGCAACTCTGACCCAAGGATTAGAACTTCACCCTAACCTGTGCCAGCCTCCTAATCCATCCTTGACAGGCCCAAACCCATTCTGCTGACTCCTGTGTTTCCTTCTTTAAAATCAATTTTGTCCTTTTCCAATCTTTACGTAATTTTTCTTTATTAAAATCCTGATCAGTCAAGTTAGCTAAAGATTCTAAAAGCATTTTTAATTGCTTTCAATCTAGTATGTCCTTAACCTAATTAAGGATGGGCAATTCCGTCCCATGTGATTTACTGCCTCCGACACCCACTGGAAGGTCAGCTCTGCGTCAGTGTGAGTGGAAGAACCCCAGAGCATCATACAGAAGCCATTCACCTCTTAGAAAGGGTTTCAACACGAGTCCCTGGGTGGTGCGGTCAACACGGCTAGCTGGCTGCTCATCAGGACACTGGAAGTTCTACCTGAGGTGCTTTGGAAGAAAGGCTTAGCAGTACTTCTTTTTAAACCAGCCATTAAAAACTCTACAGAGCACAGATCTTCCTGACACAGACGGAGGCCATGAGCCGGCACCAGCTTGACGGCGCTTGGTTAATTGGTGAGGAGGGAGGTTGTTACACTGAGATAAGGAAGTAAATCGTGGGCTCGTGCAAAGGCCTGAGTTGGAGGTACTATGGGGGAGAAAAGAGAACAGCAGGGAGACCGATCTGGAAGAAATATGAGGTTGCTGACCAACTCAATGATGGTCTGGCCTGAGGGCTCCCTCTCTCTCTCCCTGTCTCTCTCATTGGCATCAAGTCAGAACTCACTCATAGTTGACCCTTCATCAGTTTCCCAAAAATGTAAATTCCCTGGGAAGAGACTGCCCATCCCTCTCCTTCAGAGCCACTGGTGGATTCAAACTTCCAGAGAGATGCAGCCCTGGATTAGCAGCCCAACTCCCTACGGGCTAGTCCATCAGAGCAACTGGGACTGAAGGAACCTAGAAGATGTCTTCATTTCAGCATGATGCTTTGTTCAGGTAGAGAATGATGACGAAATTCATCAACATATGGGATGCAGGGGAGGAAACTGTTTTAGAAGAAATTTAAGCTCTGTCTTAGAAACACAGAATTTGGGGGATGGTGGCAATGCCAGAAGGAGGTGTCCAGGAAACAGGTGGTCAAACATGTCTGTTGACCACGTGAGAGGCTGGGCTGGAAACAGACACGTGGGTGCCACCAAAGCCCCCTGAGGTGGCAGGTGCAGCCGTGGATGTGCTGAGACAGTGGGACGAGTCTGTCTGTGGAGGGAAATACTGGAACATATCCACGTCACCCCAGCAACAATCGTCCGTCTGGGGAGCAACACGTTTGTTTGAGCGGTAACAGCTGACCCCACTGGGCAGTGTCCCAACACTCACAGAACCTGCACTGTGCCCCTGTGCGGACTGCAGGGTCTGTCCCTGGCTCCCCCTCTCAGGATGCGTCCAGGCTCAGGGAGGCCCTCCTCAGAGCATCACTCTCATCTCCGAGAAGAAGAAATCTGCACCCTCCCTGATTCATGGCCTCCCACTCCCCCCCTTCACTCACTCTACTTCTCCTCCTTGGTGTTCTTGAGAAGAACAGTCCATTTCCACCCCAGGGCCTTTGCATTCGCTGCTCCCTCCCTAGGATGCCCTTCCTCTAGCCAGCAGCATGGCCTGGCCTTCCTCCCTCACTCGTCAGGTCTCAAGTATCTTCCTCATGAGGTCACAATTCCCTAACGCACCATCAGCCCCCTTGTCTGCTTAGGTCTGTTAAGTATTTGCCACCCAACTGGCATGCTCTGTTTTCATTTACCTGTGTACTGTACCCTGTCCCAACTACAAAGTAAGTTTCAGGAAGTCAAAGATATTTCCGCTTTGTCCACTGCTGTGTCCCCAGTGCCCAGAAAAGTGGCTGACCAAGAGCAGATGCTCAATTATGTTCAATTAATGAACATTCAGCTACAAAAATGTACATCCTCTCCTTAGGTAGCAGAATGGTGAGTTTTTAAACTTGAGGTTATGACACAAAATATCGAGTGTTAACAACAGAGGATGATCACATCAGAGCGCAAAATTGAAGCTCATTACATAACTGCCAAATTACACCATTACAAAACTGCCAAACCATGTAGAATCACAGCCCAGCCAAATTTACACATAGTCTTAACCATCAACCACTTAATCAGGTTATAGTCTTAACCATTAAGCCTGGTGCTGCCCTCACCTCACTGTCAAAATTCAGTAGTCAAATTATCACTGATTGAATTACATCACTCCAAAATGCAGTCATGCAATTCTATACTATTTATTATATAATTGTATCATTCTCAAATTGAAGCTGAAGAAAATGAAAAGAAGTCCAAAAGAACCAAAATACAACCTTGCGTTCCATCTGAATTTAAAAACCACTTCAAGACAGTAATGATGAAAGATTAGATATTCCATCTAGTCTTGGGATGATGTCAAGGACGCCTTCCATGAAGAAAGCAAAAGGTCACTGCAAAGATAGGAAGCAAAGAAAAGATCAGAATGAATGTCAGAAGAGACTCTGACACTCAAGTTAGAATGAAGAGAAGACGAAGGGGAAAAAATGCTGAAGCAAGAGAGATGAACAGAAGATCTCAAAGGTGAGCTCTAGAAGACAAAGTGTCCTTTAAATGAGACGTGCAGAGTGCTGAAGTTAGAAAACCAAAGGGAAGACAACATTTGACATTTTTCAAGCTGAAAGAACGAAACAAATTCAAGCCTTGAGTTGCAAAACTTAAAAAAAAATTCTATGGAAAAAATCTTGAATGATACAGGAAGTATCAAAAGAAAATGGAAAGAATACACAGAGTCACTGTAACATAAAGAACTGGTGGGCAACGAACCATTTCAGGAAGTGACATGTGATCAACCTCAATGGTATTGAAGGAATAAGTTCAAGCTGTACTGAAGACATTAGCAAAATACAAGTCCCAGGAATTGATGGAAAAGCAATGGATGTATGTCAACAAAGAGATGCAGCCTTGGACAGGTTCACCAGCCTAGAAATTATGAAGACAGCAATCTGGCCAAATGACTAGATGAGATCTACGTTTGTTCCTATTGTTTCTATTTTTTTTTAAAAAAAGAGATCCAACAGAATGTGGAGATTATTGAACAATAACATCAGTCTCACAAACTGATTATTTTAAAATTATTTTTAAATGGACAAAAACTGCCAGAAACTCAAGGTGGATTAAGAAGAGGCCTTAGGAGGGATAGCATTGCTGATGTTAGACAGATCTTGATTTAAAACACTGAATATACAGAAAGATATATACATAGATATCTACCTGTGTTTTGTTGACTATATAAAGGTTGTGTGGATCATAGCAAATGACAGATGAAGCAGAGAATGGAAATTGCAGAACATTTAATTGTGTTCATGCAAAACCTACAGAGAGAACAATAAACAGCTGTCCAAAGAGAACAAGGGAACACTGCATAGGAAATCAAGAAAGGCACTTGTCAGGGTTGTATCCTTTCTCTAGAACGATTCTATATATATGCTAAGCCAATCATTTGAAATGCTAGACTTCGGGAAGAAGAATGTGACATCGGGGTTGGAGGAAGACTCATCAACAACCTGCAATATGAAGATGGCGCCACCTTGCTAGCTGAAAGTTAGGAGGACTTGAGAACTTGGTGCTGAAGGTCAAAGAAGACAGCTGTCAATATGGATTGCATCTCAATGTCAGGATCACCAAAATTCTTCCCACGTGACCAAAAGGCAACATCATGATAAATGTAGATGGAAAAAAGATTGATGTTATCAATGACTGCATTTTTCTTGGGTCTACAATCAATACTCATGGCATCAGCATTCAGGAAATGGAAATATGTGTTGCATTTGGATAATCTGTTGAGACTTCTGCAAAGTGCTAGAGAGCACTGATGTCAATTTAAATACTAAGGTGTGCCTGATCCAAGTAATGGTATTTCCCCTGGCTTCCTAGTCTTCTGAAAGTTGGACAATGAATAAGAAGAATGAAGGAGAGTTGACACCTTTGGGTTGTGGCATTACTTGAGCAGAGTTCTGCCAAAACAACCGTAAGTCTGTTTTGGAGGAGTGCAACTAGGGTCCTCTGTGAAGGGAAGGGTGACGTGTAAAACGTCATGCGATAGACTTTGGGTATCTTCTCAGGATTGTCCATCCTTGGACAAAGACATCATCCTGGGGAAGGTGGAGGGTCAGAGAGAGAGATAGGACTCAAATGGAGATGGCCTGACACAGGGACTGGAAGCATAGCGGATTGTGAGGATGAGACTGGACAAGGGTCAGATCCATTGTTTCCAGGGTTGCTATGAATCATACTGGACCGGATGGCACCTTAACAGCAGTTACATAATGTGGAGGCCATGTAACGACCTGCCATGATCTAATCAAGCAAATACTTGCTGAAGGATTAAGGGTGGAATGCAATACTTCTTAATCCCCTCAAAACCCTAACCCGGTGTAAAGGGAGTTACCCTAGAGACTGACATAAAAGGGGAGGAAAGCTAATCAAGAGGGGGAGGGAAGGGAGACCCTTCACATCACCACAAAATAATCACCGAGAGTGGCGTGCGACTTTCTGGACCTGAGCCTAAAGCTCAGGTATTGGATCTCTAAGGATACCAGGGAAGGCCCAGCCACATGGAGGTCTCCAGGGAACACTGGGCCAGCAGAGAGTGAAGGAAACAGGAGCCTCCTCCACTACAAAGAAAGG